GCCGTGCGAATAGACTATTTAGAGGTTAAATGACACGAAAATTACGATGGTCACATTAAAAAAGTCTGAAATACACTCCTTACTGCGCAATTTGTGTTGTTAGGAACGAGCTTTTTCAAATTTCCCGCGTCTGGGGGCAGTTTTCTAACGGAAACAATTAACGGCAACTCGCGGTTATTTCCGGTTAACTAAAACTGACATTATAACCTAAAAATCGGAGCTCGTGACATCGTGAAATGAAATGTAAAAGGATTGCGTTGGATATTTAAAAGTTGATCGATTTGGTTACCGCATAAAGCGTATATGGAGATCACGTTGGGTTTGTAAACAAACTGAAGGAAAAAATAACAACAACAACAACGACTCGGCATCTTCCGGAAATCACCGAGCCCGCCGTTTGCTCGTTTCCGGTGATTAGAAAACTGCCCTCAGACGCGGGAAATTTGAAAAAGCGCGTTCCTAACAACGCAAATTGCGCAGTAAGGCGTGTATTTCAGACTTTTTTAATGTGACCATCGTAATTTTCGTGTCATTTAACCTCTAAAAAGTCTATTCGCGCGGCTGTATCTCTTGCATGCAACAGGCCCATTTGTTCAGTTTTAGTTTTAAACCATGTAGATAGATACAAGGAAATACTTGTAGTAGTTGCGTTATATTTAAATAAAATTCATTCAGAAAAAAAAAAAAAAAAAAAAGAAGAAAAAATTGGAAATAGCTGATGTGGCTTGGTTCCTTTCTGCTAAACGCGCTCCAACTGAGGCCTATGAAAATTCATGAGAATTCGCTTCGTACTATGCAGAAAATAGCCATATTTTTGCTAAATCCAAATTATTTCTTAGGTTTTCTTTCGCCCATGTTTGATAAACAGAGAGCATTGCGTTGGTAGAAGCATACGATATCGAGAAGATGGAGTAAAAAATTGGAGATACGCGCTAAGCATAACTGATGAGACCCGTTTACGAGTGAACCGGGACTTGAGCATGGCGCACGTGTTTACAAATTAGGTTTTGTTTACACTTCAAATTATGAACAGACGCCTCTTCTTGTCGGATTGGGTTTCCAAGGCTCTGCATGCCTCCTCGCGCAGGATCAATACAATCCTTACGATCACGGAATAGTATACAGGGTATACCAGGGTTAAACCACTTGACTGCAGGAGAGCGTTGTATGGGTTAAAATCAGCCTACCTACCATCACCTGACAGGGTGTCTAGTAATTTTTAATTTTGAAAAATCGTAATATTTTCCTGATATTTTATAAAAAATTCCTAATTTTTTCATTTTGAAAATTCCTGATATTTTCCTGATTTTTCTCGTAAAAACTGTATATGGTGCATAAATGCATGCGGAAACTAAATTTTCTGATAAAGTTAAGTTAAAGGGTAAGAAATTATCGGAAAAAAAGACGGCTCGACGACTCCTGGCACGGTAGGCAAAAAGCAGTAAGACGCTGAGGAGATTCGCGTGAGAAAAATTCCTGATGAAACGTCAGATTTTTCAAATTGTCCTTATATTTTCCTGATTTATTCCTGATCTGCCAAAATTCCTGATACTTTTCTGGTTTTTCCTGATGCTGGATACCTTGCCAATGAAATTTTAGTTTTCTCCAAAAATGTACCCATTCGGGGCTACGATACGCCGATTTTTTAGGAAAATTCATCGTTTTTCTGGATGTGAAAGACATTCATAGATCAGAACCCATGCATTATGCTAAACACTATGGAGGGGAGGGGGGCTATGGGCTTTTTGTGAGTGAGAATTAGACAGGGTTGCCCCAGAATTGAGAAAATGACATACCCTGACATTTCCTTGATTTCTGTCACATTTTGGTAAAATTCCCTGACAATTGAGGATAGACCAGATGCTTGAAAAGACACGATTTAAAATAACGAAATAACGGCGACAGAAATTTTTCCCTGGAATTTTCGTCATTTTCCCTGACGATTCCAGTTTTTATCAGACTTTTTAAAATTTCCTGACATTTCCCGGTATTTGAAATTTTCCGACTGTGACAACCTTTAATAGATTTTTCAGGATAAGTTTTTCTGATTTATTTTTATTCTCTGCGCGTCTTTATGCCAGTTATCATTTTTCTTTCTTTGCGATAGTAAAAAAAAACTTTGAAACAGAAAAAAAACTGAAAAAAAAGTTACAAACGCAAAAAAAAAAAAAAAAAAAAAAAAAAATACGAAAGAGACGGCCTGACATTTGATGCAGTAACGAAACTTAGTAGAGGTACTGGTTCTTGTCTCGCTCTTTCTGGTAAACAAAAACGACTCATCATCAGAAAAGAAAAAGGGGAAAAAAAACTCATGGCACGAGACTAAAAATAAATAAAAAATCCTATCGATCAATTTAAAAATAAAAATGACCGGCCGAAGATGCGATAGCTTACTCGAGAAGAATCCGAGAAGCGAGTCACTGGAACAGTGCGACTTTCAGGGAGGACTTTGAGCTTCTAGTGATAACGAGCTTAAACATCGCTGAAGATCGGGTACGCTTGCGATTCCCAACTCTTTCATCGATCGCTCCCACGGCGAATAAAGCGAAAGCGTGTGACGTCAATCGGAATATTAGCGGGGGCTATACTCCACCGAACGAGCTCAATGGCTTTTTCGCGAGCTACGAGACGAGTGTAAACAAACTCGTATTGAGAGGTCGTCTCAGAAACACAATTAAAAATATCTCGGAACTAATAATAACCCGAGCTCGGAGTAATCTCTGTTTTTATGACACTTGATTTTCTCACGCTGATCGATAGATCGATCGATGGACCGGTCACTCACCGATTACTCCGAATTGATTCGTCGAGTGCTTGGATGTATGCGTCAGGCACTGCCGTGATAGCGAAGAGAGCAGTACTGCCGTGCTAAGGAAGAACGCCGTATGAACATTCGAGAGTTGCCAAATATCTCCGGATAAAAAACGTATTTTTGAGGAATTTTAAGCATATTTTTCCCTAAAACTTTTCAGATGATTTAGATGAAATTACGCACAAAATCATCTAAAAAAATGGAAGAAAAATATTGGCAACTTTTCCAATAAATTCGTACTTAATCGAAGGAAATATGGCAACGTCTGAAGGTTCATACGGCGTTTTTCCTTAGCACGGCAGAGTAAGTGCAAATTGAAGTTTTGAGAAAACTGGCTCGGAAGCGTCTGACCGGAAGATTTTAATAGGAGAAGCCTCCGTTCTTTGTCAAAATGCCACTACTTAATTATTCGAAAGACTCTTAGAAATCGTTTGAATGATTAAAAATCGACTGATTTTATTTCAATTATATGAAAGGGGTATAATTCATTTTCATGTTAGGGTAGTGTTAGGCAAGACAGCCGTAAGTGCTATCTTCTGCATGTGTTCATGGTTGCGTGTTGGACACATAACAAACATATTTTCAAATTAGAAATCTGCAGAGGAGGGCGGCACATTACTTGAAAGCACTGTTTTCATTGGCTCTCAGAAGGAATAGGTAATGTCACTTACGGCTGTTTCACCTCAAACTCTGTCATTTTTTGCACACTTGCGACTTTCTCATATGTCTCGATTTTATAAAATTAAGATGAATTTTGCTGTTTTAGCTAGGTATTTCAGGGCTTTTATTTAAAAGAGAATATACGAATTTTGAAGGAAACTCAATTTCGAAAATTTGACACTTACTGCTTTCTTTGCTATGACGACACGGCAGGCTTTGTAAGGCATATCGATGATTCAAACTGACTGCTTTACTTCTTTTCATCAGAATGAAGTCCCGCTATCATTTTCCCCTGCAAGGCCAACTGCAGCCAAGGAGGCGGGAGGGGGTGAGTGGGATGGGCAAGCGTGGACTTTTCTGCGTTAAGGTGATTCGTCAAGCTCAGGTGACGTGGACGAACTGCCTTGCGGTATATGCCATGGATAATTAAATAATGTCATTGGGTAAAATATATCAGCAGATTTTGAGTTTTTGGCCAAAATAAGGATAGTAGGTCCTGCGCAAAAGCTTGAAGAATCATTTGAAACCCAAAAATTAGCAAAATGTAGTAAAATGAAAGCAGAATCCAGTTTGGGAAAAAACCTCACGTTTGATACGGTTATCAAATTCTGTATCGAATGCCAGGTTTTTCTCCAAACAGGATTCAGCTTTCATTTTCCTACATTATGAAAATTTTTGGGTGTAAGTAGAATGATTTTTCAGGCTTGTGCACAGGGGCTACCGTCCTTTATTTGGCTAAAAATTCAAAATCTGCCAAAATTTTTGACCTCAGTAATAGATCGTTATATGACTTGCCAGCTCAACCATATAACTTGAGTTTGACGAATCATCTTGCTGCACCAATTGTGCTGCGTTGCTGTTGGTCAGTGTTGGTAGTGAATGCAACGGCTACGAGAAACTATAAGCCTGAAGAGCCGAGCCTCAATTGAGCACAATGTAGTAAACTTAGATGTAATTGTTGGAACAGATTTGGCAAAACTTAATGGAATGAAGCTGAGAGGCAAAATATCTTCAAAAGGATGAACCAAGTATTAACGTCAAACTTAGAAATGCATCAACGCAATAATATCCCTAAATACATGAAAGTCGTTAAAGAGCAAATTCGTGATACGCATCCACAGGCACTAAAATTTTAAAATAAAGTAGTTTAAAATGCAGAGTCAAAATTTCTAACAGAGGAATATGTATCGAGTCCACACCAACTAAGTTTACGCACTTTTTGACTGCGACAGAAGATCCATCATCATGCTTCTTGCATCTACATTACAAGTAAAAAGGATGTCAGAAGATCTTCTGTTGCAGTCTAGAAGTGCGAAAACTTGTTTAGCGTGGACTCTTTGACAAATCCTCCGTCTGGGGTTTGGACTGCGGATCTCATTCTCGAATGCGCAATGAATGCAGCTTGGCTCCCTGAGTCTACAGCCATAGTGATTCAATCAAATGATTGCTGAGGAGAACTGGTAATAAAATGATTGCAGAGGAGTGCAAAATGAAATAATTAATGTTGTAGCATAAGTGAGAAACTAACCTCTTAAATCGTTGACATCAATTTGGAATGCTGAAACTGAGCTTGGAGAGAGCAAAGAGAGAGACGATTCCTCGGTTCGAATGTATTGTCCAAGACCACTGATAACTCATAAATCTTGCAAACTCAAGCTGAATGGACTGCAAATAATTAAACTGGATAGCAACCTACACAAAATATGGCGTTTGAGATCAAACTTGCATCTGTTTGCACAAAACTAAAGGAGAAGGAGAAGACTAATTCCAATAAGTAAGGAAGCACGAAACACTCAGCACATTGGAAGAAAATGATGGAAATTAATCCACTCTGATAGACGGAGCCTCGATAAGACAGTAAATTATAATTCACACGAAAAAATCAATAACACAACACCACAACACACCCTAGAGTCTCTTATCTGAAACAAATCCGGCTTGAATCGGAGAATTTTTAGGTTGGCTTCAGCATCATTATGTAACCTCGCACATAATACACTAATCTTAGCTAAATAAGTTCACTTTAATTACGAGAGGATTAAATGTTAATTTTTCATAAAAAATGGCCAATTATTGAATTAAGATAATACTCTTTTAATTTTAAAAAGAATTTACTTTCAAAGTGGCAAAACGGATTACGGCTAGCCTTCCTCTGTTTATTCCGAATGAAAATCTGGTTATTGAAGGTTGGTAGTACTTTTGTTTTGATTCTCCCCACTCCTACTTATGGCGCGAAATAGAAGGTCTATTTGAATTTGCTGCCCTGAAACCTTTCGTTCTGTGTCAACAACGCGAGGGCACTTCTCAGGTTTTCTTTTCCGTTTTTATTCATGCATTAGAAACCATGAAAAAATTTTTAATACAGATATTGAATCATTAATCTGGATTTATTTCTCTAAAATTCCTAAATTTAGTACCTACGTTAGATTTATATAAAAATGTAAAGTAGTACCTACCAAGTCAAATTGATGTGAAATACTTAAATCCTTCATGAAAACAATGATTTAAAAAAAGAAGAAGAGAAAGAAAAAACCCTAGCTATGAATCATTTAAACGAGGAAAGAATCAAGGAAATTTTTAAGTAAGAAAGAAAACTCGTTTCAGTCACCGAAGTTCAGCAACCTTCATGTGTAATGATTACAGCAATGATTCCGCCTTTCTACTTGAGGATAAGCACTTCATATTGTGAGACCAATTGCGCAGACTTCCGAAAAATTGTATCAAGAAAAAAGAAAGAACGGAAGAAAAAAAAGAAAAAAATCATAGCTATTTCAACGCTTAGTTAGCAATTAAATTAACAGGTTCTCGGTGAAGTTCGATCTAAAAATTATCAACTATTTTAATGTGAAACAATCAGATAATTCTTTAATCTGTAATTGCAAAGCAATTACGACGTCAAGGAAGTCGTCAAAAATAGTTTTTCGAATCTTATCGTATGGCACTAAAGAAAGTGTATTCGGAGGCTATAAAATCCTTTATCCTTATTTTTTCAATTTTAGAACCGTTGGTTACAAATTTTAAATGTGATTAAAGTAAAGAATCCGGGGGAAAACTGGTAAGCGTAGTGAAGGCCCTCTCCTCAACAGAATATGTTAATGAAGTCCGTGGCTGTTAGGCGGAATGTAATGGAGGAATCCTGTATAGGATACTCGGCGGCTATCCTCACGAGCAGGAGAAAACGCCTTCAATTGATGCGTAGGCAAAACGCCTTGCTTTATGCTTTCAATGCTGGCGCGACGCGCGAGGCAGTTCTTTGCCGTGTTGTGGAGAAACTTCGAACAAGCCTTGATATTCGAATGCTGCCAATTCATGTTCATTTGAAATTTTACTTTTTTAGTAATTTTGGCCATGTTCATCCTGGAATTATTCAAGAAAACCGCTAGATTATATTAATCACTACTATAATTCTCAAATTCGCTTCCTCGTACAGTGTTAAGGCGTGGAGTGTTAAAGCTTTAAATTTTTGCATCATGTACTTTGCAAAGTTGGAAGGTCATCTCAAAGGCATTTTAGGTATTTCTCTCTCTTTTTTTCTTTATCTTTTTAATGTGATTCGTAAAATGGGTCTTAAGTGTAGGCAAAATACTTGAGAATAATGAGAGTGGTCGCAGATGGACGGAGAGGATTAAAGATAGGATGGAGGAGCAAAAAGTTATTTTGGTAGCCAAAACTAACAAGATGCTGTAGTTTCGTTTGAGAGAGGAGAAGAAAAATGTAATTTTTGCAATGAGCGACTCTCATCCTTTTGCTATGTTTTAATTGCAGACATTAAAGAGATTCTTTGAGTAGTCGGAACGTTTGTCATTTTGTCAGTCTTATTATTTTAAAATTTATTTGACATACTTTCAGTGTCCTGCATTTTGACTTGACTACATTTTGCAATAAGGAATCATTACCTCTGGTTCATTTTAGAAACGACGCATATATGCTATTGGTTTCCCCAAGCAGAAAGGTGAATTATGGAAGAGCCAGAGCTAGTGGATCCTTATTGCAAAATGTAATCCACTTTATAAGTGGACGTATTTCTGCCAAATGGGACTATGTGCATTATGACGTGAGCCCTGTTATGCATATCGACGGCTTAAGTCCACAATCACATATCTCGTTTTCGGTGTCTGAAAATTTCCGCCTCTTTGTTATTTTTTTGAAGGAGAACAAATTGACATCATTTTTTGAAGTTCATGCAGAATTTTCTTAGCACAGAGAAGGAAAATCGCGGCAGTTTTAAAGAGTTGCAGTTTAATATTTTCCGTTTAAAAAATAAAGTGCAACAGGAAGTCTGCGACGTCGCAAACCGAGTTATGTGATTGCCGACTTACACTGTCGATATATTCCTATGGGTCTCAAGACTCATGGCGTAATGCACATAGTTCCGGTATCCAATGGTCAAAATATCATGTCCAAATATATCATGCTCGGTAAAAGCTAAATAGAATATAGTATATTTGGCATAAATATGCGTCCAATTTATTGTGAACTTGTTTTTTACCTATCAATCATCAGTGAACAATAACCTGAATCAGTGCAACGCATAGTTATGATGCGTGACAAAAGAATACAGGAAAAATGTGCGCGCCTTCATTTTTTGCCGATGCAACATTGACCGTCATCAAGCTAGAGTAGTTGCATTCAAGCGTTGTCATTGATGAATAATTGAACAGTCCGTAGACGTTAATCATACATCCGTTTGATGACGCAGTATTTTATCTCCCAGGTTTTATCCTTCTTAAATAAAATCAAATTTCATTCTCTTTTTCTTTTAACGTATAATCACTGCAGCGCAATGTTTTTTTCCGACCAGCGACGTCCACGGATTTTAGTGCTCTCTTGAAAATGTTTTCTTGCTCACGGAAAAAAAGAGGTATCAATTGTTGGTCGATATAGGCATATCCAATGAATTGTAGTGGTACCCCAATAAATTACGCTACTATTAATTGGACGTAATTCTGTCAAACGGAACTATGTGCATCATGACGTGAGCCCTGTTATACACATATTCTTGTGGGTCTCACGGCTCATGTCTTAATCCACATACTTCCGTTTGACAGAAATACGTGCAATTTATACTCAATTAATTTAAAATGTCACATCACCCAACGAATTGATGTAGTGCCACAATTTTAGGGGACAATCCCAAACGCTTTTTTCCCGTCCTGCGCGTAACTTTTTTAAAATTATTTGAGTGCGGCGAATGCAGTTGTTGCTCTATTCCGATCAATTTTTAGACATGCACTGACAAAAATAAGAGGATACTTTTTACCGTATTTCTGTATAGACGATTTTCAATCATGAAAACCATATGCAAAATCGGTGCAAATCCGACCGTATTTTAAGACAGCGTAAAATTACGCGATCAAATTCGGTGACATCGGGTGCTGAAATGACTCCCGTTGTGTTCTGATTATTTCTATATGTGTTTTGAATACCCCCATCGAAGTCCCTAAGAATCGAGTTTTTCACGGAGCAAAATGAAAGTTCTTGACACCAAGCCAATTCTAGGATCATACTTTGGCCCATTTCATGAGAATTTCGCCAAGTAACTTCTCAATCGGCAAAGAAATCAAGGACATCGGCTATCTTTGAGTCCATGTGTGAGCTCCAACCAGATCCTAAAGCATATGCTAGCTTCCAAATGGGTTACTTTCGGTACGAAGAGACTAAATTGTATTGAATTGAGGTATTACACAGGAAAATATGTTTAAAGGTTGGTTACTTCATAAGAATTAATGTAAACAATGAACTTTAAATCCATGTTTTGGACTTACTTTTTGTAAGATACGATTTATTCGGCAGGAGAAAATAAGATACTAGTCCTGCTCAAAATAATTTATACTCGTACCTCTTTTTCGCAGAATGTAATTTGGCTCCTCTCTGCAATGCATGGTCTTTAAAAGATATCAATGTTGAAAATATCAAAGCAAGGATTTTGATTGCGGTAACTGAAATTTTTAGATCGTGCATTGTTCTTAGTTCTTTTGCGAGGGAATAATGCTCTTTTTTAGTACAAAATTGTCAGAGAACGTTGTTGAAAAAATAAAGAAAAACTAAACTTTGGCAGCATAAAGCGGCACATCGCGAGTTCTCACCTCGCGCCATCGCGCCTTCAATTTTGCAGACGCAATACGGACATCTATCAGGCACGAATAGTTGTATCTCTGCGCCGTCATCAATGCACATCCTCTCCCTTGGTCTACTTCCATATTGCTTTGCTTCTGTTTGTCTTATTTGGACCGCGTTTAGAAGGAATCAAGCCATATCAGCTGAAGCCTAATTTAACAGGGCAACTTAATTTCACACAAGAGAATTAAACGTTCGTGCTGATTCCTTTGGAAATTAGAGAGAGCTTACCCCGTGTTACGCAGGGAAATTCACCGAATTTGAACTAAAGTCCGCACACCCGTTTTCATGTAAAACAATTAAATTTTCCAATTCAATTAGGCAATAGCTGATGTGGCTTGGTTCCTTTTAGCTTAAAGCGCTCTAAACCTTCTTACTATAAGAAAAAAATTATGGATATAATTCATTTATAGACGGCCCCACAAGAGGCCCATGAGTATAAGGCGTCTCTAAAATACAATTTTCGTGTCTAAGAGACAAAATATCCAAGATATGCCGGAATGCATAGAATCTCACACACCGTAAAACTTGAAAGTATCTTAGTATTGTTATTGCAAGTATAAGTTTGACTTAAAGGCGCCCAGCTCAACCCTCATCTGTGCCGAAAAGCGCTCACTGAGCTTATCGCTTCATATACTGCCGTGATTAGGAAGAACGCCGCACGAACCTTCAGGCGTTGCCACATTTCCTCCAATACAAAACTAATTTACCGGTAAAATTGAGAATATTTTTCGCCAATTTTTTTGGACAGTTTAGTTTGAAATTTAATCCAGAATATTTGAACATTTTAAGGACAAAT